CCGCTCCGGGAACGGCCCTCTTCGGTCCGGGTCGATGCCCTGGTACTCGAGCGCGGCGCGGTCGCCGTTCCAGTCGGGCGCCCGCCGATCCTCGAGCACGTCGCCCGTCTCGTCGTCGCGCACGACGTCGCGCAGGCTGCCCGGGTCGCCGACGATCACGTCGCAAATCTCGGGCCAGCGCTGCCTCAGAAACGCGCCGGCGTTGGCGAGCACCGTCTCCCGCTTGTGCCAGAAGGCGTCCCGAGAGCGAGAGCACGACCACCGGGCCGTCCACCTCGGCGAGCGCGATGTCGCCGGTGATGCCGATCGCGACGGTGTGTGGATGGCCTCGGAGCATCGAGGCCTCGGCGTCCTTGCGATGGCGGTGGGGGCGGGCTTGGCGGCGGCGGCGACGGCGTTGGCGGGGGAGGAGGCGGCGGGGGTGCGAGAGGCCGGAGGGAGGCGGGATGGCGAGGCGCTGGCACAGAGGGCGTGCGCGTGCTGCGCGCCTGCTCGAGGCCAGGACGCCGTCGGCACGACGGCCCGGGCTCTGGCCCTCCCGTGAAGAGCCCGACGGCCCTCTCGAGTAGGATGCCCTCGCCGAGCAGGCAGCGGCCCCCGGCACAGATTGCTCCTCGCCGTCCTCGCCAAGCAGGGGTGTCTGAGCAGGGGTGGCTTGCCGAAGCCGGTCGGAAGGGGGGGGCAGGCTTATGCATGTTAGCCGGGCCGAGACGGGGGAGGTGGGTGGAGCAAGATGCCGGGAGGAGCGGGTGGGTTGGGGGGGGGAGGGCCGGCCTGCAGACGGCGTCGCGCGGCTTGCGACGTTCGGCCGGCGTCGCAATACATGGGACCTCGAAGGCCCTCGTGGAGTTGTGCCGCGGCTTGGACGCTCATGAGGCCGCGCGACTCGTGCGAAGCCATGGTACGCGCCCCGCCAGGGAAGTGGGCTGTGTTTGCGTTTCTTTGTGGGGACGGGTTGGAAGGGTGGAGGCATCTAGATGGAGATGAAGAGCGAGGCGCACCTCAGACTCGGCACCTGATCGGACGGAGGCAGTCCGATGAGCGGAGGGAGAAATCGAGGATGCGGCGGCGGCCGACGGACGGCGCTCAGCGCGGAGCGGGCGGCGCAGGCCCGGAGCCCTGGCGCGGGCGTGGCGCGGCAGGGCGCGGCGCGGGCGCGGTGGCTCGCAATCATGTTGGCCGGGGATCAGAGGGCGGAGGCGCTCGGGCGGCGGCGCGAGCCTCTGCACGCGTCGCGCGGGCGGGGAGGGAGCGGGAGGGGAGCGGAGGGCGAGGGCAGGGAGGGGCGGGGGGCGGGCTCAGCGGCGCGGGGCCCCGGCCCTCGAGCTGGGCGGCGGGCGCGGCAGCTGGCCTCTTAGAGACTCCACGGGTTGCTCGACCGTGCCCAGAGGTTGCAGCCAAATCTGTCGCGATGTGACGAGCAAAGGTTGGGAGGAGCCGCCTCGATCTCAAAGACGAGCTCGCGATGAAAACACCCGTGGCCGACCAGCCGCCGTAGTTGCATTTTTTTTGAGCCGGTGTCGCGGTGGTACCACCGCGGGGGAAGTTTAGCGGGAGGGAAGGGAGCGGGGGGCGCCCAGTAGGGCGCCGGCGCCCCAGCTTATAATAAAAGGTGGGGTGTCGCAAATCACTTGTGGTAAAAAGAAAGAAAGAAAGAAAAACACAACCCAAGGGAGGGATGGGAGAACGGCACGCCGCCACCACACAGGGATTTTAAGGAGAGGAGTGTGGTGCGCTTGTGGTAATTTTTCGTCCGAATTGGAATTCGATTTCTTTTCGCGTGTCATGCCTTGTGCCGCTTGCTCGCCCGCCCGAGTGACTCGAACGCGCGGTCGAGGGCACCCCACCGTTCTTAACTGAGGCGGATTTGGGTTTTGTGTGACACACGCACGAATTCCCGAGGTGCAGCAGAGGTGCAGCCCGACCTGCAGCCAGGAAAAATTAACCCCGCTGGGCGGGGGCCTGGTTGGGTTGTGCGAGGTGCGGCCCTCACGGAGCCACGAGTTGTTGCATCAGGATGCCGCCCTGGCAAAGGTGTGGGCTCTGGCGTCTGGGAATCGGCTGCGCGCTCAGAATGCAGTCTTGAATGCACTATAATGCGTTCAAATGCCATGATATGTGCGATATGCAACATAATGCAAAAATGCAAAAAATGTGCATGGGCAAAAACCACACGCATTTTTTGGGCAAGAACCACAACACACCCGCCCCCGCCCTCGGCCTCGCCCTCTCCGCCGCCGCCCGCGCCGCCGCCGCCCTCGGCACCGCCTTCTCCGCCGCCACCGACTCCGCCGCCGCCCTCTCCGCCGCCCTCGCCGCCACCCTCTCCGCCGCCGCCGACTCCGCCGCCGCCCTCTCCGCCGCCGCCCTCGGCCTCGCCCTCTCCGCCGCCGCCCTCGGCGCCGCCGCCCTCGGCACCGCCCTCTCCGCCACCCCCCTCCACCTCGCCCTCGCCGCCGCCTGCGCCGCCGCCACCTGCGCCTCCACCACCCGTGCCGCCGCCCCCCTCCACCTCGCCATCGCCGCCACCCTCGGCGTCGCCCTCGCCGCATACCCACGCCATAGGACCACAAGCAGCACCGAGAACGCCGCCAGCAAGATTACCTGCCGCGCCACTTGCGAATTTTGACCCCACCTTTGGCGTGATGGCTGATGCCATTGTTGTACGCCTCAAAGCCTGCGTTGAATGCGCCACCGACAGCTGGGCCAACATATGCGATAGCTGACTGTAGCCAGCCACCTGCTCCTTCAGTGGCCATGCGCGTGCCTTCTTGGTTGCAGCCCGAGTGGTCGTGAGCGCATCACGCCACACGACGTTGCGCGCGCGAAAGCTCCCGTCGTCAGCGCGATCCACCGCGAACCTGATGTGCGCGGGCAGCCCCACTCTCGATGCGGCCACATAAAGCTGGCCGTGGGAGAAGCACGCCACTCGGAGAACCTCCGGCGGTCTGAGACAGGTTTACCTTTACCTGAGGCCCCCCACGCCAGCCCTACCTCTAGCTCTACCTGCGCCCCCGCCCTCAGAGCCGATTAGCTCCCCGGCCCTGGGATGTGAGGTTGATGACTGCACTCCAAGTGCTCCAAGTTTTTTCGCGCGCAAGAGAGCTCTCTCAGCTGACAGCTCGCTAACAAGGAGCCGGGGCGAGACAAGACCTACCGCCGCCGCCGGTCGCCGGCGGGGCGGCACTGCTATTGCTGCTCGCCGCGCCCCCGCGCCTGTGCGCGCCCCTGCAGATAGCGAGAGAGCGACTCGAACTCCTCCCGCTCCGTGGCGGGGTCGGCGTTCTGCCTCGCCCACTCCTCATCCTCCTGTGGAGGGGGGGGGGGGGGGGGGTAGGGGGGTCTTTCTGTGAACCAACCCGGCAGAACGATCCCACGCCCTCGGCCGCACGTTGTGAAAACCCCCAACCCCCTGGCGGCGGGCGGTAGGCGGGGTGTGACGCGCCTTTGTGAAGCCCGCCCGCCCGTCCCCCTCCTCGTCCTCGTCCTCGCCCTCGCCCTCCTCCTCGCTCTCGTCGCTGCGCGCCTCGCCGCTGCCGCCGCCGCGCCGGTCCTCCCTGAACCTCCCCAAGTCGCCCCGCCGCCGCGCCGCCTCCGCCTCGGCTGCCGCCTTCTTCCTTGCCGCCAGCTCGGCGCCGTACGTCTCGTCGTACTCGGCTGCGGCCCGTTGGACCTGCCGTGGACGCGTGGTGGTGTGTCGGATGCGCCGCGCGTGGAACGTGTCGTGGGTGGAACGTGTCGTGGGCGTGTCGCGGGCGTGTCGCGGGCGTGCTGCGGCGTCACCGCGTCGAAGAAGTCGTCGACGCCCTCGCCGGTGCGGGCGGAGAGGCCGACCGAGGTGAGTCCGGCGTAGAACTCCTCGAGCATGAGGGCCATCGAGGTTGCGAGGGTGCCCATGTACGACTTCTCCTCCTGCAGCGCGTCGCGAAAGGCGTCCAGGTCGCTCATCCAGGTCTGCGCGGAGGGGGAGAGGGGGGGGGGGTGGAGGCAAGGTGGCGAGGAGGGGCGGTGACAGGGCCCGGTGTCGACGGTGGGTCGGGCGGAGGGGCGGTGAGGCACGGCGTGGGCTGTCTGGTGCGGCCAGGATTGAAGCGGCTGGGCCCGCGTGTGGGATGAGGAAATGGCACGATGGACGTCATGCGCCATCAGTGTGCCGCAGTCTCTCTCGCTCTCTCTCGCCGGGCTCTCCTGCGCGAACGCGTGTGGGGTGACGTCAGTCTTGTTGAAGACGAGGAGAAGGGGCAGCTTGGTCTTGTAGAGGATGGAGCAGGCGTAGAGCATGTTCGACATGAAGGTGACGGCCGAGGAGCAGCGCGGCGTGTCGACGACGTACACAACCACCGTCGGCATCGACGCGGCGAGCGACTCAGAGATGATGGCGCCAGAGGCGGACCAGGTGAAGATCTCGATCTGGCCGGGCGTGTCGAGGAGGACAAAGTCGAGCTCCTCGGCGCGCGCCTCGACCAGGCCGAGCACCTCGTGGAACTTGGTCGCGAAGAGGTTGAGCGAGGTGAGGATGCCTCCGTTTGGCCCGAGGCTGTACTGCTTCATCACCTCCTTGTAGTTGACGGTGTCGCGGATGTCGATGTTGGCGCCGAAGGGCGTATCGAGCACCGCCGGGTCCAGGTTGATCAGGTAGTATGGCCGCTTCGCCTCATGCAGGTGCGAGTTGAGCCTCTGCATCAGAGTCGTCTTCCCGCTGCCCGCCATGCCGAGCACGATGCACGCGACGGGGCGGCGCGTCGCGCCCGCCTGCCCGCCCGCGGAGGACGGAGCGCCAGCCGACGAGGAACCGGCGTCGTCCATCTCAGGGAGAGGTTCGCGTCGCGCGGCAGGGCGTCTGTTTTCTTTTTTTGTACCCGCGGCCCCGACGATGACGCGTACGAGGACATGCCCGAGCGCATCACGTTCCAATTCGCGCGGTGGAAGAGCAAGAGCCTGGGCAACGTCGACTGCCTCTGGGACTTTGACAAGAAGGCGGGCGAGGTGACCGTTGGGCTGAGCACAGTTTTCCGGAAAACAAAAAGGAAAACAGAGGGTCCCCAGCACTTTGCGTTTCCGGAAATTTCCAGGGAAAACAGAGGGTGTTTGGTGCTCCATTCTGGAAACTCGCTGTTTTCCCTGAGTCTGAGAGCTGGTCTGGGGCAAAATCTGAGGCAAAATTGAGGAAATCGACAAAATACCCAGGCGGTCGCAGGGTAAATTCCAGGTATGCACGGGTTCTCCGCAAAATTCCCGGCATTTTGCCGATTTGGCCTAAAATTTGGCTGATTTTGGGCCCAAACCAGCCTCAGACTCGGCTCAGAGCCCAAAATTTGACGATTTCCAGCCCAAATCACTGTGAGAGTCGTGATTTCTTCTTCAGTCTGTGCCAGTGTGCTGTGAGAGAGGTTGTAGTGAAAGAATTCTTAAAATACAGCACACTGGTAAATAGAGCAGACAACCCCTGGTGGGATTAGGGCAGCAACCCGACGGGCAGACCCCGCCCCGCTCGGAGGGCGTGCACCACACAGACTTATGCACTGCACGGCACACTAAAATTCAAGCAAGAAAGAAAACGGACAACCCAAGGGAGGGATGGGAGGACGGCACGCCGCCACCACACAGGGATTTTAAGGAGACAACGGCACACTGGCACCCCGCACAGAGTTCTTTTCGCCCGCTCGCTTGCCAGCGATCGCTTGGCTGCGATGAAGTCTGGGTTGTTGGGAGTCGAGCCTGCCCGGCCGCGAAGAGCATTGCTTAGCGATACATGGCTGCGCGTGCTCGTCGTCGGCTTAGGCTGCGCAGGGCTGTGCACTTCACTGTGGCTGGCGTGGAGCCTTCGCCGGGATCCAGCGGGAGCGGCCAGCCTGAGGCGTTCGCACGAGATGACGGAACTCAGCAACGAGGTGCTGATACTGCGACGGCAGCTGGCGTCGATGGTGTCCGACGCCGACGAGGCGGCGGCATCCGGCGCACAGCGGACGGGTGCGCCGCGCAGGGGGGGTCGGAGGGGTGCGAGAGGGGGCGTGGGTCAGGCGCGCACCGGCCGGCTCCGGGAGCGGCCGTCACGTCGAGGAGGGGGGCTGTCGGCGGCTCGAGCGGCGAGGCGTGCCACTCTGCTTCGCCGCCGACAGCCCCTCTTCCGAGCCGGCGCGTGGCGACGAGCCGCGGCCAGTGTCGCTGGTTTCTTTGGCGGCGCAGCGTTTATCCCCCCCACCCGCGCCCGCCCGCCCGACCGCCCGCCCGCCCTCAGGCCTTGCCCCTTCGCAGGCGCGGGAGCGCTCGCCGGCGAGCACCTCCTACCTCTCCTCGCCCGGCTGCTCCCTTGCCCCGTCGCCCGCCGCGCCCTCGCCCGGCCTCAAGAGCTTGGCGGCCTTTGTCCGCCAGCTCAAGGCGTGGGACGAGGCGTGCGCCGACGGCCGCTCGTCGTGCTGGTTCGAGACGGAGGGCGACCTCCCGCGGCTGGCCGGGGAGGCGCTGCTGGCCGAGGCGGCCGCGACGGGCGCGAGGCGGATCGCCTTTGACGCCGTCGCGGCGCGTCTCGAGGCGACCGCGGCGCCGCCGCCGCCTCTCGGCACCGCCTTGGCCGCGTGGCCCACGGGATGGGGCATCGAGGAGGGCAACTTCTGCGGGCTGGCGCACTGGGCTGTGGAGGTGTGGCACGCGGCCGGGTCGGTCGACGCGAGCCGGTGGCAGGTCGAGGCTGACGGAGGGCGCCTCTTCTTTGTGCGGGTCGCGGAAAAGGCCGCATAATCGCGCTCTCCGCCGAGGCCCGCCTCGGCGACGGCGCTCGCCGCGTAGCAGCAGCAGTAGCAGCAGCAGCAGCAGCACGTGATTCTTGACACATGATTACACTACACAGTCCTCCCTTCGGTTGTCGTTTCGACCCTGTTTTTTTCTTCTATCGCAGCGCACTCGCATCTGTGAGCCTAGCGCAGCGCGAACTCGCCGTCTGAGCCTAGCGCAGCGCGAACTCGCTCTGAGCCTAGCGCAGCGCCTCGGAAAACACCATTTGGCTCGCCAACAAGCCCTCCGCGCCCCCACACCGTTAGGATAATACATTTTCGCCCGCTCGCTTGGCTGCGATGAAGTCTGGGTTGTTGGGAGTCGAGCCTGCCCGGCCGCGAAGAGCATTGCTTAGCGATACATGGCTGCGCGTGCTCGTCGTCGGCTTAGGCTGCGCGTGGCTGTGCACTTCACTGTGGCTGGCGTGGAGCCTTCGCCGGGATCCAGCGGGAGCGGCCAGCCTGAGGCGTTCGCACGAGATGACGGAACTCAGCAACGAGGTGCTGATACTGCGACGGCAGCTGGCGTCGATGGTGTCCGACGCCGACGAGGCGGCGGCATCCGGCGCAGGCGGGACAGAGCCGCCGCCTCCGCCTACCGATGCACTGGGGCACGCAGACCCGGCAGCGGATACGGCCAGCAGGCACCCCGAATTCCGGCTGGCGATGATTGTGCCGTGGCTCGGTGCGGAGCTACCCCGCTGGTTTGATCTCTTTGTCGCCTCGTGTGCGGGCTCCGCGTACCTCGTCGACTGGCTCATCTTCCATGAGGACGCGCCGATCGACGTCGCCGCTGCGCCGGCCAATGTGTGCCGCCGCCCGCCGCCGCCCGCCGCCGCCCGCCGCCCTCAGCTGCGCCGCCGCGCGCTCCCCAATCCCCATCAGGTCCGCTACATCTCGCTTGGCCCACACGGGATGGGCGCCCACTTTGGGGCGCGGCGCTTTCTGCGCGCGGACCTGGTCAGACACGCGGCGCCGACACTCGCTTCTCGCGCCTGTGTGTAGGTGCAGCTGGCGCGGCTTACGGGCGAGCCCAACCAGACGCACACGCTGGTGCGGCTGCTGCAGCACGCCTTCGCCACGTGGCCCTACGCGATCGTCGAGTACAAGCCGACGTACGGTGCTGCGACCTCTGACCCGCACCCCTACCCCTGCCCCTAACCCCAACTATACCCCAACCCTAACCCTAACCCTAACCCTATCGTCGAGCACAAGCCGACATACGGTGTGCTGCGTGCCCGCAGCACGCCAGCGCCCCTTTCCTCCTCCTCCTGCCCTGTCGCCTTCTCTTCTCTCTCGGGCCACTCGGGCCACACACCGCCCCCCCCACAGCACGCGACTCGGGTGCTCCTCCCCAAACACAGTCCCCGCGGGCGCTGCTCCGAGGGCTGGGTAGGAGCCTGCCATGCCTCCCCATGCCTCCCGATACCTCCCCTCATCTGGGTCGGAGCCTCCCATTCCCGACGCCGCGGCGGCTCCCAGACTTGCACCAGTCGTTGTCGAGACCTCGGCACAGTGGCCCGAGGCAGCAGGCCCACGGGAGAGGCGGCAGGCCCACGGGAGAGGCGGCAGGCCCACGGGAGAGGCGGACTGCCTTCTGCTGCTCACAGAGACGGGCGAGACCTGCCCCACGGGAGACCTACCCCACGGGAGACCTACCCCACGCCTCTGCGCAGGAGACGTCTTCCGCGACTACCTCGGCGAACTGCCTCCTCCCCGCCCTGCCCGCCTTCTTTGCCCGCCCACCTTGCCTGCCCACCCTGCCCCTGCCCCGCCTCTCCTGCCCTCTCGTACCCGCCCACCCTGTACCTTCCCCCCTGCCCCTGCCCACCCTGCCCCTGCCCACCCTGCCCCCTGCCCTCCTCGCCGGTGCTCCCGTCGCTTGGTCTCGCCGCTGATCAGCACTCTCCCTGCCCTCTCGCAGACGGGTACACACACTGGTCCTACACAGACCTCGATCTCGTCGCCGGAGATTTGACCGCCTTCGTCTCGCGCGCGGAGCTCGTCGAGCAGGAGGCCTTAGATGCGGAGGACAGGCCCTCGTCTGCCAGCGCTCGAGAGGACACGCTCCTCCGCATTCCCGGACTCGACTGTTTCGTTGTACCCCAGCCCTTGTCTTCACGACGCAGGCTGGACATCCTCACCTTCACTTTTGGCGACGCGGTCACGCACGGCCGCCTCTACTTGCGCGGCCAATTTGCGATGCACCGCCTCTCGGCCGCAACCTCGCGCCTCTGGCTGGCTTGCGAGTTCCTCTCCGCGAGCGGTGGAAGCGGTGGCGGTGCCGGGGGCGGCGGCGGCAGCGGCGGATTGCTGCACGAGCTGCGGATCAAGCACGCGAGGGCGACGCGGGCGCAGCAGCGGGGCGAGGCGTTCCGGCCGCATTTCAACTCGGCCGAGGGGTGCTATTCTCGCGTCGTCGCAACGAGCCCCACGCTCCGAGTCAAGTGAGTCTCCCCCCCCCCACTCACCCACCCACCCACCCCGCCCAACCCAAGACCCCCCCTCGTGCCGCGCCCCATCTTAACCGCCAGTTGCTCACCACACGGGTCGCCCGCGCTCCCCCCCCCCCCACCCTTGGACGCGTCCACGACGCGTCCGCAACGCGCCTCGTAGGTACGCCAACCGCATGATCGCCGACTTCACCTCCGCGCCCCAAGTCTACGTCTTGCTGTCGGGGGGTGGGCGCCGCGCCGCCGTCCGCATGTGCGCGGGCAGCGAGGGCGATGGCACCGCGGGCGGGCTGGTGGGCAGCCCAATGCGACCCACGGCCTCCTCATCAGCGCCAGCCTCGCAGCGAGCGGCATGTGACCCGTTTGCGCCGCCTCCGCCTCCGCCCCGCGCGTCGCTCCTCGGCAACCAGCGGCCGGTCGGCGCCTTGATACCGCTGGTGACGCACACCAACTGCTCTGAGTGGGTGGAGCCGCGCTATCGGGTCTGTGCCGACGTGAGCGGCGCGTGGGCGTCAGAGTTGGGTGCAGATGGCGCCGCCAACGGCTGGAACTTTTTCTACCTAGCCGGCCGGTGGTACCGACAGAGGTTCACGGCCTCACATCCTGCCGGGCGCTAACAAGAGCAGCGGGCATTGGACTCGACTGCGGCCGACGTATGACAACACCGCCTCCAGCTATAGGCTCATTGAAGGCGCCCTCTTCCCTTCCAGGAACTCCCCCCCCCCCCCCGACCCCCAACCCCCCCCCCCACCCACCACCTGCAAAAGCGCCCCGCCCCACATCCCGCTTTCCATCGGTACCTCAGGTGTGGAAGCGCGCCTACAAAAGGCAAGGGCCACAGCTGGCACCTATTCCGCCACCGGGCGAGAGCGCGGCGTTCGTTCTGACGAAGGAGGGTTACCGGCCTCTGGCTCTGCGTCCAGCGGGTGGGTCGTCCACAGGTGCAGGCACAGGTGCCTATGAGTATGACGAGGCGCTGGCATCGATCGATGCGCGGCTGAAAGCCATTGAGCGTGACGGCGTCAGCCCGGATGATCGCTTTGCGTATGCCGGGGCCCGGGGTGCGCACTAGAGTCGACTTGGAGTGCAGCTAGTTGGGAGCACTTGGGCATGTATTCATGCTTTTATTCAAACGTACTACGTACACAGAGAGATGGACCGCCGGCTCAAAGCCGACAGGCCGAGCCCCCCCCCCCCCCCCCTCCCACACCTTCAGCCCTCTTTGGATCAGCGTGAATACGGGGGGCTCTTCACAACGCCCGTTTGCTATTTGCCTTACAAAAGCGATCGGTGTAACGACCAAAAAATCGAAACCCGGTCGACGGGCACCCAAAAACGCGCCGCATATGCACGCCGGCTTTGAGAGTAACAGAATCTGGAGAACCCGGCGACAACGGGCGTTTCGCACGGGCAGGATGCCGGCCCGGCTGAGGGCGGCGCTGCTGGTGCTGCTGGCACAATGCCCTGCCGCGCAGGGCACGCCTTCGCCACCGCCGTACCCCCCGACGCCGGACTACGACTGTGATGCCATGACCGGACGCTCAGAGATAGCGGGCGGCGATAGCTGCTCGACTATCGACATTGATACAGAGGGCCCCTGTGATCTGTGGTATCAGGAGACCTCTACTGCGGGCAAGTACAAGTTTTGCTACGGCCCGACAGCCGACGAGCCGGATCAATGCTCCAACATCAAGGTCACGGATTGCTTCTATCCTCCACCCTCCCCGCCGCCGCCATCGCCCCCGCCACCCTCGCCGCCTCCAGTCACCTGCGCCGATCTGGCTGGTCGTACCGTACAGAGTAAGTCTTGCGATGACATCGATCCTGTCGAGGAAGGGCTGCCCTGCGACACATTCGCCAAGCAAAAAAATGATCCCTGGAAGTACGATCTGTGCTACGGTCCAGAGCCGGGCGAGGACAAATGTGCGAGAACGAAAGTTGAGTGCTACCCGCCTCCATCGCCACCACCGCCGTCGCCGCCACCGCCGTCTCCGCCGCCTCCGAGTCCGCCGCCACCCTCGCCTCCACCACCCTCGCCTCCACCGCCCTCGCCTCCACCGCCCTCGCCGCCGCCGCCCTCGCCTCCTCCGCCGTCTCCGCCGCCTCCGAGTCCGCCGCCACCCTCGCCTCCACCACCCTCGCCTCCTCCGCCCTCGCCTCCACCGCCCTCGCCGCCGCCGCCCTCGCCTCCTCCGCCGTCTCCGCCGCCCCCTTCACCGCCACCGCCCTCGCCGCCGCCGTCTCCGCCGCCCCCTTCTCCGCCGCCGCCCTCGCCGCCGCCGCCCTCGCCCCCGCCTCCCTCGCCACCACCGCCGTCACCGCCGCCCCCTAGCCCGCCGCCTCCCAGCCCGCCGCCGCCGTCGCCGCCGCCGCCGTCGCCGCCGCCGCCGTCGCCGCCGCCGCCATCGCCTCCTCCGCCGTACCCGCCGCCCCCATCCCCGCCGCCGCCCGCGCCGCCGCCGTCTCCGCCGCCGCCTTCTCCGCCGCCGCCGTCGCCGCCGCCGCCGTCGCCTCCGCCTCCATCGCCGCCACCGCCGACACCGCCGCCGCCTACGGCGCCGCCGCCCAGCCCGCCGCCGCCTTCGCCGCCGCCACCGGCGCCAGCGCCGCCGTCGCCTCCGCCTCCGTCGCCAGCACCGCCGTCGCGCGCAAGTGCCGCCGCCGCCGTATTCGAGGCCGCCGC